CAAGGTGCAAAAACAATTCAACAAAGGAAGGATCACTTTTTCATAAACAGTGCTCAAGCAACTAATCATCTGTAGATTAGGAAATGACCATCCACTCAGTATTCTTGCCTGGAAGTCCTACAAAAAGAGAAGCTGGCGGGCTACAGTCCATGGGGTCACAAAGAGTCGAACACGACTGAGGAACTCAACACAAACAATCAAAACAAAACCTTAAACTTCATATCTTATAAAAATAGTAACTAAAAATGAATTCTAGACTTGAATGTAAAACTTAAAATATGAAACTTTTAGAAAAATATATAGAAGAAAATTTGGGAATCTAGAGCTAAGGAAAGAGTTCTTAGACTTAATACTATTAGTATAATCCATAAAAGGATGAATTGATAAATCATGCTTCATCAAAATTAAAAACTTTTGCTCTGCAAAAGATTCTGTAAAGATAATGCAAAGGCACACTACAGATTAGGAAAAATATTTGCAAAACCACATTTGCAACAAGAGTACTATCTAAAATATATAAACAACACTGAAAACTCAATAGTAAAAAGATAAACACTTCAATTAGAAAATAGGGAAAAGGCATCAACAGACATTTCCCCAAAGAGGATAAATAGATGGCAAAAAAACACGTGAAATGACATTCAGTATGATTAGCCATGAAAGAAATGCAAATGAAAAGTGCAAGCTACCACTATACATCTATCAGAAACGCTAAAATTAAAAATAGTGATAATATCAAATCCTGGCAAAAGTGCAGAGAAATTGGATCATTTCTATATTGCTAGTAGAAATGTAAAATTATACAGTTATTCTGGAAAAGTTTGATAGTTTTTTTTATAAAATGCAATACATAATTATCATAAAACTAGAAGTTATATGTTTGGGCTTTTACCTCAGAGAAATGAAAATTTATGTTCTTGTGTAAATCTGTACATGAGTGTTATAGCAACTTTATTTGCAGTAGCAGAAAATGGAATTAACCCATATACCCTTCCAAGGATAAATATTTATACTGTGGCATGCCCATAACTGGGCTTCCCTGGTGATTCAAACGGTAAAGAATTCGCCTGCAATGCAGGAGACTCAGTTTGATCCCTAGGTTGGGAAGATCCCCTGGAGAAAGGAATGGCTACCCACTCCAGTTCTTGCCTGGATAACTCCATGGACAGAGAAGCCTGGAGGGCTACAGTTCATGGGGTTGCAAAGAGTTGGACATGACTGAGGGACAAACACCTTTACTTCTTCATGCCCATAACCACAGACTACTACTCAGCCATGAAAATGAGCGAACTATTAATATATACAACAACTTGGATCAACCTCCAGGGAACTAATGTTGAAGGGAAAAAGCCAGTCACAAAAGGTTACACAAGGGCTTTCCTGGTGGTCCAGTGGTTGAGAATTGCCTTGTGATGCAAGGGGCCCTGGTTTGATCCCTGGTCTGGGAGGATCCCATATTGCTGCGGAGCAAGTAAGCCTGTGTGCCACAACTGCTGAGCCTGCGCTCTAGAGCCCATGAGCTGCAACTACTGAAGCCCTCACACCTAGAGCCTGAGCTCCATGACAAGAGAAGCCACCGCAATGAGAAACTCATGCCCAGCAACTACAAAGTAGCTCCTGTTCACTGCAACTAAAGAAAGCCAGAGCGAGCAACAACAAAGGTCCACAACAACCAAAAATAAAATAAATTAATAAAAAAAGTTACACAATGTATGATCAATTATATAACATTTTAAAAAGACAAATTTTTAGAAATGGGGGACAAATTAGTTGTTGCCAGAAGTTGAGAATGGGGCGATGGAAGAGGGAGGTGGGTGTGGTTAAAACAAGATGACTTGAGGGATTTTAATATTGGAACTATTCAGAATCTTGACTCTGTGATGGGTTCATGAACCTACAAGTGATAAAATTGTACAGAATTTAATTCATATGTGTAAATAAGTATAGATAAAATTGGGGAACTCTGAATAAGCTGGTTTTTTGTCAATGCCCATATACTGTTAGCTACATTGTACTACAATTTTAAAAATGTTATCACTGGGGGAAACTAAATTAAGCACATGCTCTCTCTGTATTATTTCTTAAAACTGCAAGTCAATCTACAATGATCTCAATGAAAATGTCAATTAAAAACAAAATATCAAAAGAAAACAAAAAATATACTTCAGATGGTGTATTTTCTGCTTAAAATTCTTTAGTGATTTCCTATTATGCCCAGAATAAAATTCAGACTTCTCTCTTAAGGCTGTTATAATCCGGTTTTAATTTCTCTCCAGTCTCATTTCATTCTGTTCATGTCTTCTGTCACCATTCACCACACTGGCCTTCTTTTGATGTTACACTAACCAACACATTACTAACTGTGTGTTGTTCCCAATAAAACACTCATCCGTCAACTTTTCCTATGGCTAGCTTTTACTCATCCTTTAGGTCTTACTTTGGATGTCACTTTCTCAAAAAACTTTCCCTAATGATGTTCCTAGTTACACAGCAAACAAGTGGGTTAGATTTGTAACTTTTTAGATTTTTTTGAAAACTGATAATATGACAGTATTAATATTTTTTTAAATGGCATGTATCTATAAATAGAGGCCAGCTGTGCATTGAGTGACACAATAAAAAGAATAAATTTCAAGAAATTTCCTCATTTGTGCTTACTAAGTGATATCAATGAAACATATGAGCATGAATAGAATGCTCTGTTGACAGAAGCCTGTGCAAAATTTGAAAAATATATTCTACTTTCCTTGTTTTAAAAATATCAATATATCTTTAACTACCTTGGAATGAGCATTATGCTAATGTCATAGTAAGTCTAAATTATTATTATAAACCAGGGAAGTACATATAAAAATTTCATAGCTATAAAGTTCTAGATGAATCTTTTTTTTATTGGCTGCAGCCACACTGCTTGCAGCATCTTAGTTCTTTCTCCACCAGGGATTAAACCCTGTCCACCACTGTGAAAGTGCTGAGTTCTAACACTGAACCATGAGGGAATTACCAAATCTTTTTTTTTTTTTGTAAAACTAAACAAGGAAGCTGATTGTCAATGAGCTGTAATATCTCATATATAATCAGGGTAGAATTGAGGGTATGAGTGGTCAGGATGATACGAATAAGTAAAAAGTTTGACTCATTGAGCATTTTAAATTGTATTTTTTTAATACAGAAACTTATAACTCTGCTTATAAGCAGAGGTTAAAATTGGGAATTATCTAAGCAAAAATATTTTATAAATTATCCCTGATAGTTGTATGTTAATAGTGAAAGAACTGAAGTTCTTTAAAAAGAATGTGTTCTCTTAAGAAACAAATGTTCTAGAACTTAGAAGTTAAGCAATGCTTTTAAAAAAATCAAGTACTTATATGTTTGTTTTGATATTTCCCTTTCCTTTTTTTATACTTATCCTATCATTTCTTGAGGAAAATATTTTACATATTAGGGTGAAGTAGTAAAAATTGACCTGGAACTCCATCATTTCCGGCTTCATGGAGTTGTTTTGCTATTTTTCAATGTAAGGTTGCTAGTAGAGTATCACTTCTTTTCAGATGTAATTTGGAGCCTATTTTCGGAATATCTTAGAATCAACATAAATGAATTATAATGCAATGACTTATTTTTTTGGTTCGCTAATTAAAATTCTCAGATACAGGCCTATTATTTTAAAAGGTAAACAAAACTCTATGTGAGATGACTTGGAGATTTTTTATCAGGAATTCTACTCCATAGTAGATGAAAACTTTTGCAGAATTCATCATCAGTATTAGAGTCTGAAGTTAGAAACTGGAGGTGGACAAGATCAGTTGCCAGGAAAAATAGAGAATGTGTACTGAAGCTGAGCCATGTTTATGTGAAAGTAGACCTGGGCAGGACTGAGACAAGCATGTAGAGTCGGATAAAAATACAGTGAGTCATCAGATAAGAGAAGGTGTGACCAGGAGAATGGAGTTCAGTGGTAGAACACGTTTGTAAACGTGCTTCTGTGCAAATGTCTTAAAAGACTGAGACTCTGACTCTGTATCCAACAGACTTTATATGTGTAAGAGACATTAAAGAAATCATAATGAAATTATTTATACATCCTATTCAACTGCTTGGATTTTCACTGAGTTTCATCTCTGCTACTAACTATCATGAGAACTTGAACAAGGAATAGTACCTATTTATGTTGTAGTTTTTCTTAGCCATAAACATGAGAGAGTTTGATGATTTGTACACATCTAACATTGGAAGGACTGATGCTGAAGCTGAAACTCCAATACTTTGGCCACCTCATGCGAAGAGTTGACTCATTGGAAAAGACCCTGATGCTGGGAGGGATTGGAGGCAGGAGGAGAAGGGGACGACAGAGGATGAGATGGTTGGATGGCACCACCGACCCGATGGGCATGAGTTTGAGTAAGCTCCGGGAGTTGGTGATGGACAGGGAGGCCTGGCGTGCTGCTATTCACAGGGTCTCAAAGAGTCAGACACGACGGAGCGACTGAACTAAACTGAATTGAACTGAACATTGCAGCAGTCTATAAATTATTATTACACACTACTAACTGGTTTAAAAATTGGTAATGAAACTTCAAGTTGAATGGTTACAGCACCTATATTAGTGGAGTTTGAATTTAATGGTTTTTTCCCTTTGCTTTATGCATCGCTCAGTTGTTTGTACAGACCCAGTGTTTTGAAATCAAAATAGAATGTCAAATTCAATTAAGAAAGCAAAGTCTTTATTAAGTAAACAATAAGAAACTCTGGCAGAATGTGACCTGGAAGGTCTCAAAGGCTTCTGTCCTTGATGATCTGGGCACTATTTGATTTATGTGAGCTTGTAACTGCCCTTGTTTTGACTGGAGAGGGCTGCGTGGGAAGTTTGTCTCTAAGATAGAGATGAAGCATTGCTCTGCAGAGTGTCTATAGCCTAAGTTTATGCAGAGCGCCCCCTCTTTCCACTCCTTGATAAATAGGGAATCGGCTCAGTTGCCACAGTTAGAAAGTTAAAGTCAATGCTAAATCTGTCTGTATTCATTCTGTCAGGAAAAGAACAATCTTTAGTAGTATCATTGAACTGTGAGTATTTTGTTCTCTGTAAAATAAGAAAAATGTATTTTGTGCTGTCTAAATTAAATATAAATGTTAATTTTGTTGGTAACTTTATTATTAAACCATTAAATAATATTAGTTTTAGGTATTAAAAATAATAATAAGATATTCTTTTTTGAGATCCTTAGATTTCACTAACAGTAAATTAATTTTGCAAGGTGAATACGACAATTGTTATTACTATGAAAGTCAAACTGTAGAAAACATTTTCCCCTTGAAAGTAAAAATTTAATTAAGTAGATTACACAGTAATTTGATTCCTAAAGAATACAAGGTAATTTTAGAATGTAGTTGGACTTGATATTTGATGTGATAAGTCGTTTCACAGTGATGTTTACTGTTATATTTTAAAAATTAAACTTTTTTAAAATAAAGAACTTATTGATAAGCTATTTTATTTTTTGAAGCAATAGATTGTATGTAAATTCAGGCCACTTGAAATAAATTCTAATAAAGATATATTCAGGGAATTACACTTTTGTGGAAAACTTTATGATGACATAATTATGAAAATTATGTCAGATTATGGACATAGACACAAAAATATTTCTATATCTCTATAGAATATATATAGAATATATAAAATATTACTTTCATATTTATGAATTTTCTAAATATTTAATCTATTTTCTCTTTCTATCTTATGTTGTGAAAAATACCTAACATGGTATTAATTACTTTTTTCACTTAAAACTGTGTGGATTATCTGATTAGATTTATATGAAATGTCTAGAATAGGCATATCCATAGAAACAGGAAGTTGCTTAGTAGTTGTCAGGGATGGGGAGGAGGAAATTAGGTGTTATGCTTACAAGTATGGGGTGATCATTTTGGGGTGACAAAAATGCTCTGGGATTAACTGATGGTACTTGCTACATACTCTGAATATTTTAAAATCCACTGAAGTATACAGTAATTTAAAAGAATGAATATGATGTTATGTAAATTACATATGTAATTTGTTAAACTACATATGTAAATCACATATTGATAAAGCTATATAAATCCATGAGTAGACTTCACAGTGTTAAATCCTCCTTGTATTCAAAAGTTAAAGGATAAATTCTTATGAAAGAATCAAGACGCCTTAGTTTGTGTTGTTATTCAAGTATATTCTTTTCATTTTTCCTGGTTCCAATAAGCTCAGAGAATTTTGGCTCAAAGAAACACTACCATAAAAAATCTTTTTATAATTATGTATCACCTAGGGCTATTGCTCATTTTTTAGTAGATACTATTATGAAAACTAAAAGGTTTTTCTTGTGAAGCAATCTATTATTTTTCAATTAAGTCAGTTTTAAGCAGTGCATTATTCATGATTCAAATTACATATAAGTGTAAAAATGTGAAAACTTAAAAACTTCTTTAACATATGGATGTAGTTCTTAGGAATCAATGTTTTTCCTGTTAAGATTTTAGACATTTGAAGATTTACTAAGAACAGTTTGTGGCTAAGGCAGAGGAAATGCAAATTCATTTTTTTCAATTAAGGTTTTTAGTAAAATAGCTATCATGATCTGTGAAAAATACAGTTTTTTATAAAGTCGTATTTGTTAAACTAAAAAACAGACTTTGCCCAGGGCAAATTGATCCTCTTGATAAAATCTCCTCTCTTAACTGTTTTCTTTTAAAATAAATATTTACTAAGAAAGCTAATGAAACACTCAATCATTCCAAGCCCATTGTAGCTTTTCTCTTTGTTTCAATAGGATAGGAAGTTTTTAATTACATACCTCTCTCTATGTTGTTAATAATTTACCTAAGTGTTTTTAAACTAATTTTATAAATATATTGTTTCAAAAATTTTGCTTTTCCATGAATACATATGGTTATATTAATACTTCTGTTAGTTAAAGAGGGAGGGGACATATGTATACACACGGCTGAGTTATGTTGATGTATGGCAGAAACCAACACAGTATTGTAAAGCAATTATCTCCTATTAAAAATAAATAAATTAAAAAAATAAAATATTTCTGTTAAGCATTAAAAATCTGAAGAAAAATTTAATTAGTGAACATTTTATGTAGAAAATAATGCAACTATTACTATGAACATAAAAAAGAGATAAATATTTCATATTTTTAAAAGGCATATTTTAATCAATGGTTTATTTATGTCCCATATATGCTCTGAAATATAACTACAAGCATACCTCATTTCATTGCACTTTGCTTTGTTACACTTTGTAGATACTAAGTTTTTTACAAATTGAAATTTTGTGGCAACCCTACATTAAGCAAACCTATTGGCACCATTTTTTTCCAACAGCAGTTAGCTCAATTTGTGTCTCTGTGTCACATTTTGGTAATTCTAGTAATATTTCAAACTTTTTCATTGTTATTGTATTTGTTATAGTGACCTGTGATCATTGATTTCTGATGTTATTATTGTAATTGTTTTGGGGTACCATGAACCCACACTCATATAAAATGTGAACACAATATTGTATGTGTTCTGACTGTTCCACTGACTGGCTGGTTCCCATCTCTCTGCCTCTCCTTGGGCCTCCCTATTCTTTCAGACAACTATATTGAAATTAAGTCACTGAGTAACCCTATGATGACTTCTAGGTGCTCAAATAAAAGGAAGAGTCTCATGACTCTCACTTTAAATCAAAAGTTAGAAATGATTAAACATAGTGAGGAAGAAGGTATGCTGAAAGCTAAGATAAGTAAAAAACTAGGCCTCATGTGCCAAACATAAGGGTTGTGAATGCAAAAGAAAAGTTCTTGTAGGAAGTTAGAGGTGGTTCTCTAGTGAACACACAAATGACAAAGTGATATTGCTGATATGGAGAAAGTTTTAGTGATCTGGATGGAAGATTAAACCAGCCACAACATTCCTTTAAGTCAAAGTCTAATCCACAGCAAGGTCTTAACTCTCTTCAATTCTACAAAGGCTGAGAGTGATGAGGAAGCTGCAGAAGAAAAGTTCGAAGCTAGCAGACGTAGTTTCATGATGTTTAAGGAATGAAGTCATCTCTATAACATAAAAGTGCAAGGTGAAGCAGCAAGTGCTGATGAAGACACTGTAGCAAGTTATCCAGAAGTTGTACCCAAATAATAAATGAAGGTGGTTTACACTAAACGACAAATGTAGATGAAATAACTTTATTGGAAGAAAATGCCATCTAGGACTTTGATGGCTAGAGAGGAGAATACCTGGCTTCAGAACTTCAAAGACAGACTGACTGTCTTGTTAGGGGCTAATACCACTTGTGACTTGAAGTCAATGCTGATTTACCATTCTAAAAATCCTGTAGCCCTTAAGAATTAAAACTAAATCTACTCTGTCTGTGCTCTATACATGGAAAAACAAAGTCTGGATGACAGCACATCAGTTTACATCACTGTTGTTGTTTTTTAGTTACTAAGATGTGTCCGATTCTTTGAGACCCCATGGACTGCAGCATGCCAGGCTTCTCTGTCCTTCACTATCTCCCAGAGTTTGCTCAAACTCATGATAGAGTCAGTGATGCTTTCCAACCATCTCATTCTCTTTCGTCCCCTTCTCCTTTCGTCTTCAATCTTTCCCAGCATCAGGATGTTTTCCAGTGACTCAGTTCTTTGCATCAGGTGCCATAGTATTGGAGTTTCAGCTTCAGCATCAGTCCTTCCAGTGAATATTCAAGGTTGATTTCCTTTAGGATTGAGTAAGGTTTGAATTCCTTGCTGTCCGAGGGACTCTCAAGAATCTTCTCCGGCACCACAGTTTGAAAGCCTCAATTCTTTGGTGCTCAGCCTTGTTTATGGTCCAGCTCTTACAACATGACTACTGGAAAGATCATAGTTTTGCCTGTATGGACCTCTGTCAGCAAAGTGATGCTGACACAGACTTAAAGTCTGCTTTTTAATACACTTTCAGGTTTGCCATAGCATTCCTTCCAAGGAGCAAGCGTCTTTTAATTTCACGGCTGCAGTCACTGTCTGCAGTGATTTTGGAGCCCAAGAAAATAAAATCTGTCACTGTTTCCACTTTTTCACCTTCTATTTGCCATGAAATAATGGGACTGGATGCCATGATCTTAGTTTTTGAATGTAAAGTTTTAAGCCAGCTTTTCCACTCTCCTCTTTCAGTTTCATCAAGAGGCTCTTTAGTCCCTCTTCACTTTCTGCCATTATTGTGGTATCATCTGCTTATCTGAGGTTGTTGATATCTCTCCTGGCAATCTTTTTTTTAAAAATACCCTAATTTTTAATAGATATTTTATGATTTATTTATGGCTGTGCTTGGTCTTCTTTGATGCCCTGGCTTTTCTCTAATCGTGGCAAGGAAGGGCTACTCTCTAGTTGCAGTGCTTGACTTCTCATTGTGGTGACTTCCCTTGTGGAGCACGGGCTTCAGTAGTCGTGGGACATGGGCTCAGTTGTTGGGGCTCCTGGGCTCGAGAGCACAAGCTCAGCAGTTGTGGCCCATGGGTTAGTTGCTCTGCGGCAAGTGGAATCTTCCTGGAGCAGGAATCAAACTCATGTCCCTGCACTGGCAGGTGGATTCTTAACCACTGGATCACCAGAGTCTCCTGGCAATCTTGATTCCAGCTTGTGATTCATCCAGCTCTGCATCTTGCATGATGTACTCTGCATATAGGTTAAATAAGCACCCTGACAATATACAGCCTTGTACTCTTTTCTCCAATTTGGAAGCAGTCTTGTTGTTTGTTCCATGTCTAGTTCTAACTGTTGCTTCTTGACCTGCATATTGTTTTCTCAGGAGACAGTTAAAGTGGTCTGGTATTCCTAGCACTTTAAGAATTTTCCACATGGTTTACAACATGATTTGCTGTATATTTTAAATGTATTGTTGAAATTTACTGTTCAGAATTAAAGAATCAAAACATTATTGGTTGTTGACAATGTTCCTGGTCGCTCAAGAGTTCTAATGGAGATATACAGTCAGTTTAATGTTCTTTTTATGCCTGCTAACACAACATCCATTCTGCAACCCATGACTTTGACTTTCAAGTCTTATTATTTAAGAAATACATTTTATAAGTCTATAGCTGCCACAGATGGTGATTACTCTGATGGAACTGAGCCAAGTAACTTAAAAATCTTCTGATGGAGATTCACCTTTTTAGGTGCCATTGAGAACATTCATGAGTTATGGGTCAAAATATCAACATTAACAGGAGTTTGGAGGAAGTTGATCCCAACCCTATGGGTGACTTTGAGGGGTTCAAAACTTCAATAGAGGAAGAAACTGCTATTGTTGTGGAAATAGCAAGAGAACTAGAATTAGAAGTCAAGCGTGAATATGACTGAATTGCTGCAATTTCATGATAAAACATGAATGGATGAGGAGTCGCCTCTTATGGAAGAGCAAAGAAAATGGTTTCTTGAGATGGAAGCCACCCCTGGTGAAGATGCTATGAAGGTTGTTGAAATGACAACAAAAGATTTAGAATATTAAGTAAACCTAGTTGATAAAGCACTGGCAAGGCTTGAAAGATTGATTCCAATTTTGAAAGAAGTTTGACTGTGCATAAACTGCTATGAAACGGCAGGGCATACTACAGAGAAATTGCTCTTGAGAGGAAGAGTCAATCAATGTGGGTAACTTCATAGTTATCTTATTTTAAGATATTGCCAGTCTTCACTCCAATCTTCAGCAACCTCCACCCTGACCAGTCAGCAGCGAATAATACTGAGGCAAGACTCTTCACCAGCAGAAAGATTATGACTCTCTAAAGGCTCAGATGATTACTTTTTTTTTTTTAACAGTAAAGTGTTTTTTAATAAGGTATTTTTATTTATTTATTTATTTTTTAATAAGGTATTTTTAAAGATAAAATGCTACCTCATTCTTAGTAGGCTGCAGGATAAAGTAACTTTTAGTATGCACTAGGAAATTAAAAAATGTATGTGACTTGCGTTATTGTGCTATTTGCTTAATTTCAAGGGTCTGGAATCAGTCCTGCAATATTGCTGAGGTACACCTGTATTCCATAAACTGATAAAAACATTTCTGCTTTAGAAAATGTTTGAGGGCATTTATTTATCAGTATTGGAAGGACTTAGTTTGGGAACATTGCTATTTGTGATTTGAAATCTGACAGTGGCATTGCTGTAAGATACTTATGTGTGAATTTGCCAGGATATTACCAGTCTGTTTTAATGTGCTCTCTCTGATTTATTCTATATCATTTCTTAAATGAAATTTTGCTCAGCTAGAAAAAGAGTACCAAATGCTTTTTAATTTTCAGATATTTAATATTATCTGAAGCCTAATGCTAAAAGCAATAATTTTAAAAGAAGGCTAACAACTTTAAGTTTTCATATTCATTTGGAATTTTCTAAAATGGAATTAAGACTCAAAGAGAAGTTTGGAAAGACCTAAACAGGATTATTGCTGAGAACTATGACACAAATTAAACTAATGGTATTTAGAATCCTTTTTATACGGAGAGCCAATAAACCTGTTGTAATACTGACTGATCTTACTGATTTTAGTTCTTACTTTTCAAGGAAGACTTCATATTGAAAGTGTACTTGGGTTTCCTTGGTGGCTCAGTGGTAGAGAATCTGTTTGCCAATGCAGGATACACGGGTTCGATCCCTGATCCTGGAAGATCCACATGCTGAGGAGACACTAGGCTCATGTGCCACAGCTATTGAGCCTGTGCTATAGAGCCTGGTAACCGCAACTCCTGAGTCCATGTGCTGCCACTGTTGAAGCCTGTGTGCCTTAGAGTCTGTGTTCTGCAACAAGAGATGGTGGTGAAAGTAGCTCAGTCGTGTCCGACTCTTTGCGACCCCGTGGACTATACAGCCCATGGAATTCTCCAGGCCAGAATACTAGAGTGGGTAGCCTTTCCTTTCTCCAGGGGGTCTTCCCAACCCAGGGATCAAACCCAGGTATCCCACATTGCAGGTGGATTCTTTACCAGCTGAGCCACAAGGGAAGGCCAAGAAAACTGGAGTGGGTAGCCTATCCCTTCTCCAGGGGATCTTCCTGACCTAGGAATCGAACTGGGGTCTCCTGCATTGCAGGTGGATTCTTTACCAACTGAGCTGTGAGGGAAGCCCAATGAGAAGCCTGCACACTGCAACTAGAGAGTAGCCCTCTCTTGCTGCAACTAGAAAAAAGCCCATGCAGCAATGAAGACCCAGCACAGCCAAAAAAAAGTAAAATAAACAAGTAAATAAATAAAATAAAAAAAGAAAGTGCGATTATTTGGGGACGCCACTTTTGCTTTACCTGTCCCATTCAGTACTTCCTCTTCTGTGCTCAGTCACTCAGTCATGGACTGTAGCCTGCCAGGCTCCTCTGTCCATGGAATTCTCCAGGTAAGAATATTGGAGTGGGATGTCATTTCCTCCTCCAGAGGACTGCTACTATGCTATCAGAGTGGGAGATTCAAGTACTTTTAAAGGAACCTAGAGCCTATTAAATAATGCAGAGGACAAATTTTAGAGATATTACTATTTTAAGCATTTTCATGGAAGTAGAAACCTTAGCAATGACACCATCATATAACAACTTAATCTAAGTAAAACAGATTTCAACATAATCTCAGAAGCTATCTCAGAAGTTTGTCATGTATGTATTTTGGTATGATTTAAAACCCATTTTCTTCTTTTTTGGTTCTTTTAAAAGGTGAAAACAGTCTTTACCTTCTAATAGATAGGATAAAGCTATAAAATATCATGGACTCTAGAGTGACCTTTATTTTTTTTCAGTAATTTCCAGTTTCTTTAACTGTGATTTCCTGTATAAGTCTATTCAAAGATGCATTGTTTTTGGAGTTCCTTCCTAGGAAATAACAAAAATAGCTTTTTCCATAAGGGATGGTCTTAAATTTTGAATATTTTTTTCTCATAACAGCTTATGATTTTTAGTCTTTACTATTAAAAATAAAACACTTCTCCTTTCAATAGTAAAAAATTATTTTCATTAGTCAAATAGAACCAAAATTAATATTTTAATGTTTAGCATATCATAGTACTATGAAAAATATTTACAAAGGTCTTAGAAGATTAAATAAAGTGCTATGAAAGCCATTCTTTTCCTACTCTTTAATTTCCTTCATGAAAGAATGTACTTTTTCTTCCTAAGTCATCTAAATTTAACATACTGAGATCTATTGAAACTATTAGAATAATAATAGGACTTAGTTACTAAGTCAAGAACTGTGCTAGATTTTAAACATATTAATTAAACTCTCCAAAAACTTTGCTAGGTATACTTCACTACTTCTCAATGAGGAAATTAAGGTTCAGAGAGGTGTAAAAATGAACCGTATGTATGGGTCAGTGTATGAAGTCTAACTCTAAAGCTTGGTACCTTTTCAAGAGCTATAATGATTATTACCAAGATTTAAATTATTTTAAAGAGCTGAGCAATAAGAAATTGTAAGAATTAAATAATTTGATACTCGGAGATATGAAAAATCAATATTCTTCCAGTTAAAGTGTAAATATAAATGTCTTATGTATAATGTGTGCTAAATTCTTTAATTTTTAAGAAAGGTATTATACTTCTATAAAATCATACTGATTTGATAATCATACTTTCAAAAAATCTACAAAATTTTTGTTTCCTTTACTATTTTAGCATCTACTAGTGAAAAAATGAAAATTGGCCAGAGAATGGCCAGTACTTATGTCGCTGCATCTAATGGATATTCTTTGGTTGAACCAGTGCAGCACTATGGTATGTGATGAAAAACTACAGTATGATAGTTAATAAAACATTTTTTGTGGGAATTATGGTTAATCAGAGTTTTTATAAAGAAATTGGTAAATGAACCAAAGACTTTCAATTACTCCCTCCTAGAGAATATAATTAATTTAAAAAATCAGAAATAACAAAATGTTGTAAGCCAGAATCAAATGTAAAGAAGAAAAAACACAGTAGTCTAAAATTGTATTTAATTTTTAAAAATAGAACTAACACACAAATTATGTTATTTTTAGGGATTAAAAGAAACTAGTTCACATGCAATTCAGAAAATGTAGTTCAGAGAAATGTATTTCAGAGCTATTCAATGTACTTGAAACTTTAATCTTAATATAAGATTTTTATCAAAGGGAAAGAAATAGAAAACAGAGTGCAAGAGACAATATGATTTTTCTCCCAAAAGACCAAGATTATAATATTAATTAACTTTAAAATTCCATTTTATATTATACTTTGAACTCTGATTTCCATGCCAATGGAACATCAGCCAGTATTGTGTAGTCTTTTGATACTCAGTCAAGAAGGGCCCTCTTCTTTTTCTAAAAAAAAAGTTACATTCTTTCTACTGATAAGTTTTCTTCTTATATCAGGATGTCATTGGTGTTTATTCAACACTTTACATTGGGTTGGTTGCTATGAGATTGGAAATTATTTATGTGAATTAATGGAAATTATACTGTTTACCAATTTCGATGGTAGAATTTTGAGGTTAAGAGTAATTCTAATCACCTTGTGATTTTGCACAAGGAAAAGTACTAATATTACTAGATAGATACATAGAGCAAATAATGTTCCTAGGTATTTTTGGAGTCAATTTTCTGGATTTTTTTTTTCCAGTAATCCTCCTGAAAACAGAAAGTGAGTTGGTGTTTGGGAGCTTCTGATAATAATAGTAAAGATATTCATTGGGTGTAATTTTGTATTTTATATGTGCTTTAGTATGCCACATTTTATTTCATTCTTACAGTCACCCTGTGAGGTAGGTGAATTTATCCCCAAATGATTGAATTACTAGACAACAAAACAGAAAAGAAAGTAGCACTTTAAATCAGGTCTACAAGTGATGGAGGAGAATGTTAAGGTATATTAAGTGAGTTTAAACAAATTTCTTTTTTGTTTGAAACACCATATAGCTGGTATAATTGTATTTTAATTTTTTTTTGGAGGACAAAATAATTTATTAATTCATTTCTTTATTGATCTGGTTGCACTGAAAAATTTTTATTCACTACACAAAATCCTCAAAAGCTGGGAGCATTTTTCATGCATAGACATTCAGTTTACTGTCTGCTCTCATGCTAGATAGCAAGTTCCTGGGATGTAGTGAATATGATGAACTAACTCTGTTCTTTGAGTGTAAAACTTTGAAATTGGAAGTAATTATGAACTTGATTTTCACCATTTTCCTCCTTTTTGTGTATCTGTGTGCATTAAAAAACAACAACTAGATCTTCTGCCAGAACGAATCAATTATTAGCAGCATAACATTGATTTTCAAGAATCACTTTACTGCTATTCTGCTGTACACTTTCCTCCAACTCTACAGTCCCAATCTTTGCAAAGTCATTTCAACACTTATAGCTTGAATCCACAGTTCAGTGGTGGAGAGTATGGGCTTTTTTCATGTGAATTAAATACATCCACTTATGTGGTTGTCCATGATGCTGAAGATGGTTACCCTGGAATGAAAAGGTCCAGAATAACTTATTCTTCCATTTGTATTAAGGGCCAGGAAGAACACTGTGTAATTTGTGGTGATAAAACATCAGGATATCATTACAATGCACTTACTTGTGAAGTTTGCAAAGGTAAGGATCAAGTTAAAACTTTAATCCTAGCGTTCACTGAAGAGTTATGAAATTTTAAGCATGTAGGAATACTTTTTAAATTGTGAAAAATAAAACCATGGAGAACCATTGATATATTTAAAGTGATCAATCTGTGGGATCAAAGACATGAAAATGAATTTAACGAAGTTTTGATTTTTAAAAAAATTTTGTGAAGGCTTTTATAATTAAATATAAAATTCAAAATATTTATGTGACAGAAAGTTTCCGTGTTCCTAAATGAATCTGATGTTAGAATACAAAAATGTCTTCTAAAAAGATCTGAATGTTAACTATTACATTTTCTCATGTGGCTGGTATAATTCTTGAATTAGGAGGAAATTTCAATTAAGTGACTTTTAAGATTCTATCTAAGTCTATTTTCTAGGAATGATTTTCTTGAAAACAAATAGGAGATCGGCAAGTGAAGATAATCACTGACAATGGCATTTTCAAAGAGTCAGATAGTCTTTGATAAAGTTTTGAAGCACTTCTATATTTTTTATTCACAAATGCAATTTTGGGGCAGAACCTAGAAATGATTAGATCAATACTGCACTAGTAAACATCTTAGTTCAAGGTAAAGTCTTATTGTTGGAATCTTACACTCACTTCCTACAAAGAATAGCCAAAGACGAAGGGAAAGGCGGTGCCAGCTTTATGCATAGAATAGCTGGGCCAGTATTTGCTTCATCTAAAAATGCAGGGCCTTTCTGTAAAACTAGGCTTCTCTGGTGGCTCAGTGGTAAAGAATCCGCCTACTAATGCAGGAGATGTGGGTTCTCTTGGGTAGGGAAGACCCCTGGAGAAAGAAATGGCAACCTACTTCAGCGTTCTTGCCTGGAAAACCCCAAAGACAGAGTGTGGTGGACTACAAATCCATGAAGATTGAACAACAACAACAGCTGTTAAAACTAAATTGAAGAATGAGGCACAGTTCTGGAAACCTAAGCTGGGCTTTCTAGTCCCTTTGCTGAATCTAAGTCATGAAACTCCTATTCTCAAGTGTGTCTACAGAAAGAATATGGCAGGCTACTAAGAGGGATATTGACTAGTCTCATCAACTTCACTGCTTGGAATGGAATAAGAGGAAGATAGCAGGGATTATTACATAGGAATGGGAAATGAAGGAGGAAATGGAAACAGATTGCCATGCATTGATTTAGGAAAATGTAGAATCTCCACCCACTCTTTGACACATATGCACGCACACACACACACAAAAAACTGCTCATTCAACATCTTGGACTAGATAAGTTAGCATCTCATCTGAAGAAGTGCTAAAAAAGTAAAGAGGGGTAAGTCTGGAAGAATATCTCTCCCTTTATGAGTTGAGGTAGCAATGTGAGGAGAGAAAAAGAGAGGCTTTTCTTATAGTTTTATTTTACCTGAGCACACATTCCTTCTAGGAAACCTTGAATGATGTGCCACAGAAGCATGATATTCTCTAAGATACAGTTTTTAAAATTCTTTTAGATGATATAACCATAAAAAATAGAGAGTTGGTTTAATGTGTTTGGGTTATTTAGCTTAATTTCCAGATAGATTATTTTCAGGAATAAACATGGAATATATCAAACAGGAGATGATTAAAACAATTATTGTGATAAATGTATATTAAACCAAACTTTTTTATTGAGGGGAAAAACATTTTATTGAAACAATTTAGTTAACTTAATTGCTTTATGGTAAAGATTAAAAACAAGTAACTAAAAAATAGCTTATAGTAAAATTTTAAAAACTCTTGTTTTGTTACTAGGGTTTTTTCGACGTAGCATCACCAGGAATGCAGTATACAGTTGCAAGAATGGTGGTCATTGTGAAGTGGACATGTACATGCAGACAAAATGTCAAGAGTGCAGACTGAAAAAGCGTAAGGCAGTAAGAATGTAGGGAGAATGTATGTACCATTGTGTACTTTTTTTTTTGAGAAGGGTTTTAGTTTTTATTATCTACTGGGAAATTATATTCTTCAAGTTATTTTAAACATATTTGAACATAATATATTTGTCTAGATTTAAGCAGGGGATCCCTGGGTTGGGAAAATCCCCTGGAGAAGGGAAAGGCTACCCACTCTAGTACTTTGGCCTCGAGAATTCCATGGACTACAGTCCATGGGGTTGCAGAGAGTCCAACACAACTGAGCAATTTTCACTTTCACTTTCAAGCTATTTCTCTAGCAACTGCTAAATTAGAATAACCAGTTACCAATCTTGGTAATTATTTATATAAACTCTGTTCTATACTGTATTTATCTGACTTTGGTAGTAATCATATTTTCTTCCTAATTGGAAATACTTGAATTTTTATTTTAGTTAACCTAAAGTTATATAATTGATCTAGAAAAAGCAGAATTTTAAATTAGTAGTTTCTGTTCAATGTACCAATTGACATTCTGTTGCTTCCAAGATATCATGAGGAAATTTCTCTAACACAAAAAGGTCTAAATTTATAATTTTGAGATATAAAATTAATTTTATGTCTAGGATGACTGTAGTTTTAAGTACACAAGTTGTTGTGGAAAGAAAAGAAGTAAGTAATCTAAACAGTACGTTTAACTGCTGTTATACACGCTTACCAAAATATAAAGGTTCTTTTTGAAAAGACTAGTTTGTGATCACACATGTGTACATGTAAGACAATTTTCATCAATCTTATAATGGTATTTGACGTACCCAAAACATTTCATGTGACTTTTGTAATATCACAGTTTTGCTTACAGAAATCCAATGCAAATCAAAGAGGCTTCAAAAGAACTTTAAGCAGAATAGCTTTGGCTCTAACATCAAAATGGAAGACAAAGGGGTAAACAATAAGATTGTATCATCCACCACTATATCTGGAAAAGTGGCAAGATTCATAAAATGTCTTGTTTCTTTGATGATGATATCTTGTTTGATAAGTATGCGTTACAGTTTTCCTCCATATTTTCTTACAGATTCAGAAGCACATGGAATGAACTCAAGAGGAACATCAGCTCATTGACAACATTGTGGCCACTCCAAAAATATACAATTCCTTTAGAAGCAACAGAAAGATTTGTATGTGTTCATTAATGACAAGAAATAATTTGTAGTTAATTATGTTAGAAAATAACAGCATAATCATAAAAGTTTAAAATTTAAAGTTATTTGAAAGAAAGAAATAAGTTTTATTTTTTTGTTGGTTAGCTGCAGGGATATGCAAATCCTGAACTGATCTTTCTGCAACTCTCAGGGATAGTCTTTCATAAAAAGAGGTTAGTGGATTTCACCAAGGGACTTCCAGATATCACACTGCCTTTGGAAAAAATTAAAGTAATTTAATATGTAATTTTTAAAAAGTTCCTTGTTTTAAAGGAAGGTCGAATTTTAAGAAGACAAAACCCTCTAGTTTTCTACCAAAACTACCTCTAAATGAAAAATACATTGACTTTGTTTGGTTTAATCAATCAGGTGGATGAAAATATAAATATTTAAAAATATTATTCAAGTGACTTCAAAGACTTGGGGTTAAGACAAACTATGGTTGTATGTTTTATTTTATTTTTGGAAATAAATTGTTTTGGTTTTTAGATAAAACAAACAGAATTCCTTGTACCATACCAAAAAAAAAAAAAAAATCAAGCCACTGTTGGCCAAAACGTAGCTATTTATTTACATATACAGATAACTCTCTCTGAAAATAAATTCTTCAAGGCTAAACCAACTATGTTTAATTTGCGTTTGCCATAGGAACTTTTTATCTGGTTCTGACGAAAGTGCACTAAAATATTAAATGTGGAATCATAATTATTCTAAGGGGACAGTTAGGATCCATCTCATAAATAATATAAAAATGTTAAATTCTATACTTGAAAATTACCTTTTCCTTATCTATTTCAAACAATTATGTGATCTTTTCATAGAGGATTTGAAAATCTGACCAATGAGGATCATTATAGAAGGGCTCAAAAACTGGAGTGATATTCCTTCATGTGGCCCAAATTTACAGTCAAAAAGGATGTTTTTCATCAACTTCTGAAAATAAAAAGGGCCAACTAACTCAATCTTAATAGTTATTATTAAATTTAGCAACAAATTATATAACATTGAACTAATTTTATTAATTTTTATTTTACTAGTTAATATACAAACAAGTATGTCAATAATAGCTGTTTGTAGTTTACCAATTCTTTGTTTTAGCTTTTGTTTTTTTTTTTAAAGAAAGTCATTTTTTTATATAGCATCACAGAAAACACATTTTGAAGGGTATTCTATATAGTTTTTATATAAAGTGTGAACTATTATTCTAGATTCATGTTTCAGTAATAAAAATTGTAAAGCTATCATTTGTTGGGAATGTTTCCTGTGTAACAGATATAAGAATTATTGAAATTACTATATCCATAAAGATTTTTAAAAAGCAGACTTTATATGTTTCCCTAACTATGTACTATGAGGGGCTTCCCTTGTAGCTCAGTCGGTAAAGAATCTGCCTGCAGTGCAGGAGACCTGGGTTCAAACCCTGGGTTGGGAAGATCCTCTGGAAAAGGAAATGGCAACCCACTCCAGTATCCGTGCCTGGAAAAATCTCATGGACACAGGAGCCTGATGGGCTGCAGTCCATGGGGTCTCAAAGAGTTGGGCATGACTGAGCGACCAACACTTACTTACTTCCTTAGGTACAAAGATTCGGGCACGACTGAGGGACTAACACTTACTTACTTAGGTACTATGAAGCTATTATATCATTTAGATCATTCACTGAATTGTCACAATCAGTGTGGTAATACAAGTGCTATTTATCCTATGGAAACATTTTGCAATGAAGACTGTTCTTCTATTATGCTGACTGGTAATATTACATGTAATACAAAATATTGTTCTGGATGGAAAAAATTGGTCAGACCAAAAAATTGGTCAGAAAGTTGATTTCATTTTCTTCTTATACAGCTTTGAGAATATGTGATAATGGCAATATGAGTCAGCACTATGTTTTGACAAAAATACATTTGATATTAATCTTTTTAGGTATTGCTGAAGAATTTATTATCACACTATATTGCTTCTGTAGAAGAATGAGTGAGCTTAATATCACTAGTACTGAAACTCTGCTTGCAGCCACAACAGTGCTTTTTTCAGGTAAAAACACATTTGGCGATAAAGTTTGGATTAAGTTTGGCAATGAAATCATGAAGTTTGTGGTTATTATATTATTCATTGATTCCAAATGAACAAATTTTAATCAAAATTAAAGACTTCTCTATAAGAACCTTCCTTTCAGCTTACAAACATGCTGTAATTTCTTGCATCTTAATAAAATGCCTTTTTGACTTTGAATCCCCTTTCAGCTATTCTCCTATTTCTCTGGTTTACATTACAGTCAAATTAAAAAAAATTAAGAACTGTTTATATTTCTGCCTCCATGTCTCTCTTCTCATTCACTTCTGAAACTAGTACAGGTAGATTTTGTCCCCTCCACCATAACTGGTCAAGATCTTCAGTAATTTGACATTGTGAATTCCAGTGATCAGTTCTTAAGTCCTGATCTTCCTTAATCCATCAGCTACTTTTGACACAGCAGACCACTTTCTCTTTCTTAGAACACTTATCATTTAGCTTCAATTGATCACTCCCTCCTTCTTGGCATGAGTTTTTTCAACTTAATTTCTAGGACATTATAGTATCTTGGTTTTCCTCCTCAGTAGCTGCTCTTTCTGTCTTCTTTGTTAATTCCCCATCATCTCCCATACTGATAAATGTTAAAATGTTCCAACACTCAGTTCTCTTCTATACCCACTTCCTTAGAAATTACATCCCATCTCATGGTTTTAAATACCATCTAGAGACTGACAACTCCCAAACTATATACCAACCTGGACTGCTACCCTAAGCTCCATTACATAGTCTACTCAAGATTTCAATTTTGATGTTTAGAAGGGATATAAAATTTAACCCCCTCATGTGAACTCTTGATTGTTCCCCTGATCCTTCTATATTCTTCCTTCATCTCTTTTAAATGGCATCTCAGTACTTTAAGTTGTAGAAGTCAAAATTCTTGAAGTCATCCTTCACTTCTTTTTTACTCTTATACCCATATTAATTATGCAACAAATCTTGTTTATTCTAGCTTCAGAATAGATCTAGAACTCAACCACTTCTTACTGTCTCTGTCCCTGCCATCCTAATAAAACTACTAACTCACTTTCCTATTTCTGCCCTTGCCTCCTTAGGATCTATTCTTTATACAGTAGCCACAGTGATTCTTTGACAACATAAGCCATATTATGTCATTCTTCTGCACATAATCCTTTAATGGATTTCTCTTTCATACAATTTACAGCCAAAGTTCTTTCTGATATTGCTTGCAACTATTTCTTTTGCTAACATCACCATTACCACATTGCTTTTGATGCATATGTTCCCTGAACATTTCAAGTAGGCTCCTTCCACAAGTTCTACTGTATTTGACACATTTTCTGCTTGAAAAACTCCTTCCTAGATAGCTTCATGGCTCCCTCCTTGACCATCCTGGATCTCTGCTAAATGTCACATTAAATCTGATTACCCTTTAAAAAATAGCTGCTGTGCCTCTACCCTAAATTCTTATCCCCTACTCTTAATTTTTGTCATATATTTTTATTTTAAAAATGTGTACATGTCTCTTTCCTCCCCTACTCCTCCTAAACCCAAAATACAAGCTCAATAAGGGCAGGAAACCTAGTCTATGTTCACTGCTGTATCTCCAGCACAATGACTAGATGAATGAATGCTGTCTAATCATTAAGAAATACTCTTCATAGAGTATTAGGAAGGTCAAATAAGACATTGCATAGAAGGAAGTTACCTAGCATAAAATCTGGCATATACTAAAGGTTCAGTATGTATTTTCTATTTTTACTATTTTAAACTGTTGGACAGACACAGGCGCACAGCAGTCTTCTCCCACACAAGCCTGGAGAATGGCAACAGAGTGCGGCTGCCGAAGAAAGAAAAGCCGTTTCAGAGCTGTGGGGTGGCGTGGGGGCGTGTGTGGCAGGGTGAGGGAGTCATTCCTCTCCTCCTCCATCCCAGGATGCATCCAGCACATCTTTCCTTTTTTTTTTTTTTTTAATTGATTTTTCTCGAGTGGGAGGCAAAACCCTTCAGATGAGAAAGAAGAAAGAGGGCGGGGAAAAAAAAATGCAAGCCAGGCAGCATGCTTTGGGGGGAGAGAACCATCATCGCCTTGCTTCGGATTGGAACTGTGGGGTACAGAGAAAGACTCCGGCGACCACAGCCAGCGTGGCTGCAGAGATGCTGCCGTTCCGCCCATAAGGCCGGCGGCGTCGTTCCCTCCCCCGCCCACGGGTGCTGCGCCCCCCGGGGAGGGCAGCCATCCCCGGACGCCCCCTTTTCTAACCTCCTCAGGTGCGGAGGGCCGGGGGTCGGAGAGAAGAGAGCTCCTTCTCCTTGGACGTGTCAGGCTCGGCCAGTTCGCTCGGCCCCTTCCCTCCGGCCTCTGCCCTCCTGCGCGGGCCCCCGAGGGGGGACAGCCGCCTCCCGGGGACCACCTCTCAGCTCGCTCCCTCGGGTTGTGCACCCTGAGGAAGCCCAGACGCAGAGACCTGAGAGCCGGTTTGGCCCCCGTGCCCTCGCCGCTCCCGGGAAGGCGGCAGCACCCGGGGGACCCCCACCCCTCACGCTCTTTCCGGCCCCTCACCCCGTCCCCGCCGCCTCCTCGGGCTTTGTGAGGGGGCGGGCGTCTGCCCGCTCCCCTCACGCGCGAGCCCGGGGGCAGTCACTGACGGAGCCGGGACCCGCACACCAGGCCGGGCTCCGCCCCCCGCGCCTCCGGGCACCTGGCCGCCCCTCCCCGGGCTCCGCGCGGCTCTCTCACACCCGCCCCCGCCCCCGGCGCTCGCGGCTCCGCTCCCACCCTCGCCGCTTCCTGCCCAGCCCCGCCCCGTCCGCTCGGCTGTGTCGGGAGAAGAGGGCGCGATGCGGCGGCGGCTGTGGAGGCGGTGGACGGCGGAGAGGAAGAAA